CATATATATATATATATATATATATAAATCATGGTGAAACACACTTCAAGTATACCTATATACACCTACAGAAATACAAATACACACAGCAACCTGCACACATACACGTATCACTCCAATCCAAACACACCTCCTTCAAACTTCTCAGGCTGCCTGTCCTTGGTGTCATTCGTGAGTCTGGCTACCTCCAGCACTTCCTCATCCACACTCTTGGCAATGACATACTGCTTGCTCTCGACATGGTACGCTATGTGGTGTGGTGTTGCGCGGATGGGCACCTTTCGCGAAGGCCAGGCCGAGTCGTACAGCAAGTGCTGCGGCAGCTGGCAGATCCGAAGTTCTCTCTAACATAGGGATGGTGTATTGGGTGTGTGGGTGTGTGGGTGTACAGGGGGTTAGTATTGGGCCATAGAGGGGGACCGTAACATGCACCTTATTGGGCTTATGTATGTGTGTGTGGTTGTGCAACTTATGCGTGTGTGTGTGTCATGTGTAGGTGACTGTACACGTGTGTGGGTGTGGGCCAGTGATGCGCAGCGTGATATCCGCTGTCGACAATAACACCGAAGAAAGCCAACCTACTTGCAGTAGTAAAATTACCTACCCCTCTGCGATATAGTCAAAAGAGTATATGTCATAAGAATCATGCCGCGTCTAATTTATTTACACGTACGTGATCGATGATTCATGTCCGCAGGATATCTTGGGCATAGACAACCAACCCCGACATATATAGCATAGGAATATTGAAATGACTGACTTCATATTAGAATAAAGCAACATATATAGCACAGGAATATTGACATGACTGACTTTATATTACTATAAAGCAACATATATAGCACAGGAATATTGACATGACTGACTTTATATTCCTATAGAATGGCTTGGGACCTTCACATGAGAAGTACTTAGTTTTGTGTAATCTTCATTGTAAACTCGTATCAGAGTGAAACATCTGAGACTAAGTTGCAATTGTGGCAGAGTGTTGCTAGTAGTGATAGGCGGGGGTTGTGATCCTACCAGGTTGTAGCGTTTGGTCGACGTGTACGGAATACGTTTTCTAACACCCAATAACACTACACCTAACACGCGTATACAATGGTGTATCAATAAAGACTCATGCCTGTCTAATCCATCTCACACAACCCGTCGATTGATCCACTGTGTGTAACACGCGTGTACAATGGTATATCAATAAACACTCATGCCTGTCTAATCCATCTCACACAACCCGTCGATTAATCCACTGTGTGTAACACGCGTATACAATGGTATATCAATAAAGACTCTTGCCTGTCTAAACTATCTCACACAACCCGTTGATTAATCCACTGTGTGTAACACGCGTATACAATGGTATATCAATATAGACTCATGCCTGTCTACTCCATCTCACACAACCCGTCGATAAATCCACTGTGTGTAACACGCGTGTACAAGAGCCTATCAATAAAGACTCATGCCTGTATAATCCATCTCACACAACCCGTCGACTAATCCACTGTGTGTAACACGTGTGTACTATAACCGATCAATAAAGACACATATCTCACACAACCCGTCGATTAATCCACTGCGTGTGTGCACTGACCCCACGCCGCCTACCTCGTTGTTGAAGTACATGAACCCGTGCGAGCAGTTGACGTTGTGGAATGGCGTGAAGTATATGGCTCCCGTGTCCACGTACATGGGATGTGTTCTCAGCCCTTTCCGTGTGGCAATGAGCCACCATGGCCGGGTATGCTCACCCGTTATAACCACACCGTTGTATGTGGAGATGTTGAAGAACGGGAAGATCTGTTTGCGATGCTCCCTCACGCTCGTCAGCCATCGACTGCACGCAGCCTCCGCGCCGGCTACGTTTGTGCCTGAGAGCGCGAGAGTGATACGAATGTACCGGGGTTGTTTGTCAGTGACATTGTGGTGGTGTTGTCGGTCAGCGGAGGTGTGTGTGTGTAAATAGAGAGGAATATGTCTGTAGGTGTGTGAATAGAGAGGTATATGTCTGTAGCTGTTTGTGAGTAGCTTTATCGAGGTCGAGGAGGTGAGTTCTCCTAAACAAATACGCGCGCATAGATATACGAATGAGGACGTGCATAGACAAACAAATAGGACAAGCCATACCAAAAACAAAACAAAAACCCTGTGTACGTTTAGTAGTATGATAAATAGAATATACGTACTCTACCGAATCAGTTGACCAAGCCCTGTCTCTGACACGCACGCCTGTGCATGTACTTACGTCATACTCCAGTCGCCGACTGCCGACGCGTACCTAACTACCCCGTCAGCCTCCACGAACACTTCCACAGCCACAGAAATCTATACATGTTACTACACCCTCCCACACAGACGCAGACTTCACATGCACCTACCCACAAGGTCTGTACTCTCAGGTGCGGTTGATTCGTCTACTTTGGTTGTGTCGCCGGTGGGGGCCGGTCCAAAGGCCCAGTCATCCTCGACATTGTCCATTGGTCTAAGTATCACCTCGTGATCTAGCTTAGCAAACCGCAGTATCTCGTTACCTCCACCCCCTAAACAAGAGGCGCCTCTGTATGCGCATGCGTGTGGGTGGGTGGAAGGGTAGGTGAGCATATGAGGGGCAGTGAGCAATTGATGCTGCCTACACAAATATTAAAGAAGCATATTCATAGT